TGCTTACCATGGAAAATTTTGAGATATTTTTGACTATTATAATTTTATTTTATTTCCCTAGTGAATTCTTCATGCCAGGAATGGTTGATACACACATTCATGCCCCTCAGTATTCATTTACTGGCACAAGAGTAGACTTGCCTCTTTTGCAGTGGTTGACTACCTACACATTCCCAACAGAAGCCAAATATGAAGACAGTGGTTTTGCAGAAGAAGTGTACACCAGAGTTGTTGTAAGTACTGCAAATGACATTCACCTACTTGATGACATTCATCTTTGTGAAATATAGGTAGGTTTACAGAAGGTCAGCAGAAAGAGTAGAGCATATTTTAATGTAATGAAAAGTAGCTAAAACCAAAAGATAGCCACTGTTCTAATCGCCAGGCAAGATTGTCCCTTACTAGTTCCAGTCTTGTTCCATTGTTGCTGAAAAGATACTTCATTTAATCAGAAGTTTATCATCTTTTCTGAGTACAACATCTGACAACTAAGACCACTCTCAGAGTTAGTATACCCAGCAGGTGCAGATAACCTCAGTGCAGAAAAATTTTTACCAAGCATGATAAAAAACCCCACAATTCAGGGGATATTTCCTCATCTGCATAAAAATCCTCTGTGATGAAATTATCTTCTGCAAAGACTACGTGAAACAGAAGATGCTTCTCATAGACAATAAATCTGGGGTCTTTTGGAGTAGTTAAGTGTGGCATTTCCACTGCTGAGGTCCTAGTAGCAGGAGTATCTCTCACTGCAGGGCTTTGGATGAAATCTGTCAATGGTATTGTGGCACGAAGAGAGAGACTGTGTTTGACCTAGACTGGTTTTGAGCAATGTAAAGGCTTTAAGGTCAAATTCCACTGGATAAACAATAAGCAGTTAGGTCACATTGCAGAGTACTAATTCTGGCCTGTATCTGAAATTTAGCCTTTAATATGTGGATTGAATTATCTTCAGATTCAATTATTTGCCCAGCATAATTTGCCTTGCATTTGTCTATTACTGTGACAGTGTATGTTTTCATAGACTTTGACAGTTTACGTTGTCAAAATAATCTGAATATGAAATAAATAGTTATACTGCCCTTGCTGCACAAATTTAAAAAGCAATTATTTTCTGACGTCTGACATAATAAAAACATGTAGGAGCAGCTTGGTAACAAGCTCTAGTGACAAGCACACGTGCCTTCAGCTGCTCAAAACATAGAGGTGATTTCACATTCTAGCTGCATGCCTCAACATTTGTGTCTCCATCATTTCAGACTGGATCCCAGCACAGATAAAGTGCTGATTGTGTAAGACGTTTAACAAGGTCATGTGGAAAAGAACTGCCAGTGAGAGATGGAAGTTAGTTGTAGGACCTTCAACACAATCGTTACGTGTATCAAATAGGACCAGGTCAGGAAAATGTCTTCACCCACAAATGCTGCAGAATACTCTGCAGTGTTCAATAGGGCAGTAATAACCTCAGCTGTTAGAAACAACTAAACCTGCAGGGAGCAGATATTGTTCCTATGTATCTTTGTACTTTAGAAGTTGTAATGAACACGCAGTGAATTTTTTAAAATCAAAATCCTGTTTTCAGTAAACACTTTCTGTACTTAGGAAAAGAAACAATTTAGGTCAAATTTGCCAGTTTTTAGCTGGAACCTCCTCTGGTCCCTTCAATTTTAGGAAAGTCAATTCTTCATGCTGATGATGTGGAAACAGAATGCTTTTAGTTTTTGTTTAATGATGATGTTAGGATTCCAGCAGTAGAGAATTCTGGGATTTAAAAGCTAAGAAAGGCAAAGGTAATTTGTCTCAGTAATGACATTTTTATTTTTGAAACTCATTGCAGGAACCTGTAATGACTTTCATTTGAATATTATGTCTTATAAAAAAAAATTCTCAAATTACTTGGTGATGAGAATCCAACAATGTTATTTAAAGCTGTATGTTGTATGGGTAGTCAATATAGCATCGGTCTTAAGATGAAGTGAAGCTGTAAATTTCATTGTGACTTGATGTAACTAAAGTAACCTGAACGGGTGTCACCTACCATGTCCTGTCAAACAGTATAATGAAATAAATAATTAGATTACAGTCTGAGAAATTGTGCTCAGTTTACTTTTACCTTTAAGTATGTTACTTTGTATTCAGGGATAACAAAGGGTTTTTATACAGGAAAACCTGACTAGTTTTTCTATTCACATCAGGTGGCCAGAAGAAAATTGCTACTTTTCCAAAAAGCCTTTCTTTGCTAACATTAGATAAACACTGCTTCACTGTGAAAATTGGAGAGCTTTTCAAAACTAAAAAATTACAGAAATGATTGGTTGTTTGTATTTCTAAATATAACTTGGAATATTTCCTGTTTGAGGGAAGGAATATAGACTGGTTTCTATGGGTTTAGCCGTTGTTAAAATTTTGTGAGGAATTTTTGTATTTATTAACACTCAGAGTTAAAAAAGCTATCATGAAATTAAAAATCTATGTTTTACCTTCCCACTTCACTGCACAATTTTGCAATAACTACATGTTCTTGCGGTTTGAAATGAGACTGCCTGTTCTGCATTTTGGCAGCTTTAACTGGTTTTTTTTCCAGACAGTTGAAACTGATTTCTTCTTATAGAGACGAACTCTAAAGAATGGCACAACTACAGCTTGCTACTTTGCAACTATTCACACAGATACTTCTCTTCTTCTGGCTGAAATTATAGGTAAGACTAACAGTGAGTTTTGAAGGATGTTGTGTGGATTGTTAGTTGAAGAAAACAGAGTTTAGAGGAGTTTTAGACTACCTTGAGATCTGTCTTTATACTCGTTTGTTTTCACTTCTTTGTACCTGTCATACTCTGTCCCCAAAACCCACCTTAGTTGCCATTGTTCACTTAACTGCCGCTATCCTACTTGTGTCTTCACTCCCAAGTCAACAGCTGGCTGAGCTTGATCTAGGTCTGCTGGAGTTGCTCTCCAGCTGTAGCCCTCTGCTCTTTCTAACCTTTTGCTATTTGAGGTTTAAAAGGGTGAATAACAAGAGGTCCAGTCAGTGCGTTCATTTCCTGGTGCTCTGAAGTTTCAGTTGATAATCAGCATCAAAAATCTCCATACACCCTCTGAAATCAGAAAAGTGTAAGCTGCATCATGATCTTATTCCTTCTGTTCACAGTTGCAAATGCATTCCGTTTGAAAGTGTTGTGGTTCTTGCAGGATTTTTAACGGCTCACAGATCCCCAAAAGCAGAGCAATTTAATAAGAATCTTAGTTTTCCTCAAAAATTACTTAGTCTTTCTGATCTTGTAGGAAAATTTTGATGCCATTGCATTTAACAACTCAAACAGTAAAAGTGGACAATGAGATCTAATTTAGAAACACATTTGACAGCTTAGAATAGAATATGATATACATGTCTTACACATGAGTTCTGATTTATTCATCTAGCATGGATAAATCTGAAGAAAGAGGCTAGACATAGCTCAGAAACTTTCTCCCTCCAGCTGCATGTGGGAGGCATGGTAGCAAGCTCATTCCTTTTTCTTAAAGAGAGATGGTTTGCTGAGACCTTTGTGTCTTCTCTCAACTCAGAGTAGTCGTCTACTATAGCAACTGTACTTCAATGCTTGTGTTTCTCATCTATTTCACAGTGGTCTTCTTCATATACTACTATTATGAATTCTGTTTGTCATTAAACTACAGTAATATAGTCCATAATTACAACATTTGTAAAGTTGGGTGCTAACATGGAACAGGAGAACTATTTAAATGTTGTTTGGCTGGGTTTTGGGTTTTTTCCCCCTTTCCTTTTTATCCTTAGAACTCATATGAATGGTCTCAGTTTAGAGATAAGTCAAGAGCATAAATTCATCTTAAATGAAGATGGGTGGGGTGGACTTGACTTTTTTATTATTCCAGTGCAAGTTTTGATTGTGGTTTTTGAGAACCAGTGATTCTGAGATTTGTACTCTAATGCATCTCAATAGATAAGTTTGGTCAACGAGCATTTGTTGGGAAAGTCTGCATGGATATGAATGACACTGTGCCACAGTATAAAGAGACTACTGCGGAGTCTGTCCAAGAGACAGAAAGGTAAGGTGATTAAATTGTTGGCATAACCTTTTAAAATCTTATTTTAAGTATATCTGAAAAGTGAAAGTGGATCTGACTAAGAACTTGGAGGTGTGAATTTATTAGAAATGGGTGGGGGTTTTTCCAACAGTATCGTCCACTAACAGTTCTGGCAATTCCTGCCTACACAGTTTCTGCATGACCCAAGTAGCATCTCTCTAGCTTTTCCAAAGAGAGCAGAAGCCACAGATCTAGGAATTCAAAGAATACGTTTGATTTCTGCCTCTTATTTTCCCTTCACAACTCTGTGTGTGTAGGTGCTGTGACCTTACTTGGGATCTTGGGGGGCGCATCCAGTCTTTGCCCCATTAAATTCTGAGTTATTTCCTTCCACCATTTAGGATAAGACTTTATTCAGGTTGTAAGAGTCAGCTTTCATATGCCCCATTTTAAACATGCTGTGATTCTCCTCCATCACAGCACCAGTCAAACTACTCTAACGTGCAGCTGAGAGAATGAAGGAAAATCAAATCAAGGCAATGTCCATAGTGGAGGAGATCCAAGACTGGAGTATGGCAGCCTGCTGTCTTGTTTCTCTTGTGTTTTGCATCCATATACAGAAAGTGGTTAAGTAGACATACAGCTCTTCACATGAGACTATTTATTTACTTGTATAAATGTTTCAAATATCATGCTAAAAGAGAAAATATGTAAGAGTAATATAAACATCTTATGACACTTGTGAAGTCGCTACCTTATTTCTGTACATCATGACAGAGGCATGCCCATTAAAATTAGAAGTGGTCATGGATTTCTGACAGTATTTAAAGACATTTTCAAAACATGTAGTATTAGTCATTTTCATGCTACTAATATTTGTTTTTCTTCATGTAAATCCCCGATTTTCA